AATTTCATAATTTTAATCTTCAACTGAATCCATTCTGCTTTTTAGCCCATCTTCTGATTTATTTTCTCAAAATGTTAATTTCCAGAAACTAAATCTGTTTTCGTCATATCCTATTCTTTACAGACATAATATCCTTATGAAAATCTTGTACTAATTTTAAGATTTCCTCTAGTAACTACTTCTTAAGCAGGTTGTTTCTTTAAACTTCATGCCTCCTTTTATGTTCATGGCTGTCTTCGTGTCTGATGATTTTGGGTGGACCACATTTATAGATGACGGCCCAAGATTAAAGCTTGAAATGCTTTTCCTCAACCAAATGAGAATCCCGGTTCACTTTTAAGAAACTCAAATCTTGGTGACAGGCCCTGGGGTGACGATCCAGGGGAGACGCAGGGCCCCACAGCCAGCTCCTCCCTGCAGCTGCCATGGAGCTCGCCCTCCTCCCAGCGCTTCCTGCGTTACAACAGCCGCTTTCAGGAGGAGACGCTCCCGAGCTGAGCGGGACAGCTGAGCTGCTCCACTCTTCAGTTAACTGGCCCTTCATTAATCTGCTTTTTATCTTCTAGAAACTCCACACTGTTCACTTTCTGGTTTTCCAAGTTTGCTACTAATGTATTTTTAATATTTCTCCAGTCATTTCAATGAGATTCTGGAAGAGTAAAAGAATGTGTTCAGTCATCCATGTTAAATCGTAAGCTCCAGCATGTAGTTTATAATCAGAATTTTTTAAGGCAATCATTCATCTCCTATCTTGCTGATCCTCTGAAAATCAAGTGTCACTCTCTTGATATTAGGGAGTATTCTGTAAATACTCATTTAAAATTGTACTTATTCTTGGATGCAGTACTGGATAGGCAAGTGAGAGTAACTCTTAAGCACCAGTCATTATGGGGGATGGGAGGCAGGATGACAAGTCTTTCCAACAGTATCAAATCTGAAACTTTTTTTTTTAAAGTCCCGACTGCATACAGACTATAAATATTTTGGTAAAGGAACACACTCATAACCTTCTCTAAGGGACAAAAATGCTGTATTCTAATTAGGTGGTGTTGCTTCAAATACAGTACTGAAAGTTCAGCAATCAGTAGAACTAAAAGTGTACACAGTAAGCAACAAAATATCCATATTTGTAATTCCTACTGGAGTGGTTTGAAGTGATTCATGAAACATGTAAAATATGGAAGATTTTAAAACTATACTTCCATGAGTGTATCTTACAAACCTGTGGTCAGGCAAACTAAGCACATCAGGTTTAAACTCACTTAACTCCCAACTCCTCCCACACGCAATCCCTCCATACTTAGCAGAATCCTCTAATCTTTACCAGTTCAGTATCATTTTCATACCTTTGGCAATGTGACCTCACCCATCTTTGATTTTCATTCTTATCCATATTTCTGTTCTCTAGATTCTCCAAGTTACTTAACTAAGCATTTGTCACTGGAAAATAAAACAATCTAAATATCCACCTGCTTAGATCTTTTTTTTCAGTTTTAAGAGCACTGAAGTAGCTCATGCTCCTACCTTATCTGAGATCCTGCAACATAAATGCACCTCTTACTCTTCCACTGGCCCCTGCCTTTTGCCCCATAAACATTTAAATCCTATAATCTTAAAAAAAAAAATCCTCTAGTTAACTCCATTTCCTCTTCTCACCCAAATTTCTTTGAATATCCAAATTCACTATCCCCTCATCTTACTGCACTCTTGTTTGCTTATCAATCAATTTATGGAACTGCTTTCACCAAGGTCATGCAGGACCTCATTGCCAAAGTCCACAGGATACTTCCATTCTCTGTAACATGACACTGTATTCTATCTTCTCCTGGAAACTCTATTGCTTGTCTCTTTCTGAAAATCCTTTGCTTATCACTTAAATCTCTTATCATTTAATCTTTTTATTTAAACAGTCTGCATAATTCTCTGTCTTATCCACTTCTACTTCTAACTACTGCTCATATGTAATGACTTTTTTTTCTTAAAGATTTATTTATTTATTTGAAAGTCAGAGTTACACAGAGAGAAGAGAGGTAGAGAGGTCTTCCATCCGATGGTTCACTCCCCAGAAGCTGCCGGAGAGCAGCCGGAGCTGCGTCGATCCGAAGCCAGGAGCCAGGAGCTTCCTCTGGGTCTCCAACGCGGGTGCAGGGGCCCAAGGACTTGGGCCATCTTTCACTGCTTTCCCAGGCCATAGCAGAGAGCTGGATCAAAAGTAGAGCAGCCAGGTCTCAAACTGACGCCCATATGGGATGCCGGCACTTCAGGCCAGGGCGTTAACCTGCTGTGCCACAGTGCTGGCCCCTGTAATGACTTTCAAACTTTTCTGTCTTCCTGTCTTTGCATGCATATCCAATCACCTACCAGTCATCTGCTCCAGAATTCACAGGTGCTTTAAAAATCAACATGTCCATAACTAAGCTCTCCTCCGCAAGGCAGTTCTTCACCCCATTTCTAGCCTCCCTGACACCACCACCCAACTTTAGCCATCCACTGCCTCCGCCTTCTCGACTTCGCACAACCAATTACGAACTCTTGCTTATTTCCTAAGATTGAAACCTATTTCCCCTGCATCTTCACCTTATTTCAGACCACTTTCTCTTCTTGTTATTGTATAATTCAGAAGTTACAAATTGCTCTTCAGTGGAAGCAACGTTCGGTGCTCGGACTAAAAATCAAAGGCTGTATGCCAGCCACGTGCTTGTCTTAGAGATTCAGAATGAACATTTGCCTAAAGCAGCCCTGACAAGTCCTACAGAAAAGAGACTTGCTGAATCTTCTTTCAGCTACTGTCCATAAAATCCTCCCAGTAGGGACAGGAGAGGAAGTGGGAGTTAAAAAAAAAAAAAAAAAAAAAGTGTGGAGAACTGGTTTACTGGTTTCCCAGGCTTTCTTAATCTGTCCTCCATACTGAAGCTAATGCTCTAAAATGCACGTCATTTCTGGTCTTCACCAGTTCACTATTTCCTAAGGAAAAAGAACTAGCTCCTTACAACATGGACTATAAGATGTGCTGTGGAGGCCAGCACTGTGGCATAGTGGCTAAAGCCACCACCTGCAGCATTGGCATCCCATATGGGCGTCAGTTCAAGCCCCAGCTGCTACACTTCCAACCCAGCTCTCTGCTATGGCCTGGGAAAGCAGTAGAAGATGGCCCAAGTCCTTGGCCACTGCACCCGCGTGGGAGACCTGGAGGAAGCTACTGGCTCCTGGCTTCGGATCGGCAAAGCTCCGGTCATTGCGGCCAATTGGGGAGTGAACCAGCGAATGGAAGACCTCCCTCTCTCCCTCTTCCTCTCTCCCTCACTCTCTCTCTCTCTCTCTCTCCCTCTACTTATGTGTGTAACACTGACTTTCAAATAAATAAATCTTTAAAAAAAAAAAAAGATGTGCTGTGGTGCCAACCATGTGATGTAGTAGGTTAAGTCAGTATATGCAACACAGGCAGCCCATATGAGCACTGCTTTGAGTTCCAGCTGCTATACACCTCCAATTCAGCACCCTGCTAACATGCTGGGAAAGCAGCAGCAGTTGGCCCAAGTACTTGAGACCCTGCCATCCACATGGGAGACCTGGATGGAGTTCCATGCTCCCGGTTTTGGCTTGGATCAGCCCTAGCTGTTGCAGCTATTTAGGGAATGAATCAGCAAATGGAAGGTCTCTCTCTTTCTCTCTCTCTGGAACTCTGCCTGTCAAACAAATAAACAAATCTTTAAAAAAAAAAAAAAAAAGGTCCATTGTAATTCTTTCTCCTGGCTGCCTACTTGAGCCTCACCTGCCATCGTTAATGTTATTCCTGTTTTTGGTTCCCCAGACACAACAGACTCACACTCATGGTCCTGCACTTCCCTTCAGCTGTTCCCACTGCCTTGAGTATTTTTTTCCTTCATGGCTTTCTTCAGCAGCTTCTGCCTCCTCCTTGAAGATTTAGCTTGGGTATTCAGATAACCACTCCTAGATGACCTTCATGAGCCCCACGGCTCTCATTCTTCTTCCCCAAACACTGACTGAACTTCCTAAATATTCCCATCATAGATGTAGCATACGGCAAGGAGGCCTCTGCTTGTCTGTCTTCCCCTCTCACTCTACTGTAGGCAAAGAGCCAGGATTACATTTGGCTCATTATTTTATTCCCATAATGCTCTCTGAGATTAATGAGCTGACAAGTCTTGCAGCAGCCCTTCTGATAACAATCAAGCAGAAGCGTCTAGAAGGTATTTGATACTCCAGCTTTTCTCTGATCTCACTTCTAAGACATGCTCCAGTTGGACCTGAGAACTTACTATGCATGTTTTTCCAAGGCAAGATAACTGGGTTCAGAGAAGCAGGCTCACACTCATATGGTCTGCCTTCTTACAAATTCTACTCAGATGGGGTAGGAGACAAGTGTCCCCTCTGACAGCACCTCCCCTTTTGGACTTCTAGTGTCCACTGGCTTTTCTCTCAACATCTTCCTTAAGCCATTCCTCTCTTAACAGAGAAAAGGAATAACTAAACAATTAAGAACATCAGTTCTGTTTCAAAGCCCAGCTGTCCCACCTAGTTATGCTGCACAACCTCGAGCACTTCACATAACTGGTTCCCTCAAACTCCACATCTGTAGAATGTGCGTAAGAGATACCTACCTTATAGTGTCGCTGCAATCCACAAACATGGTTAAGCACCTAGGGACACACATGGTTGCTGCTCTGGTTGTGAATTAGGATATGCCAACGGCTTCTGCTCATGTGACTTCTACTTTCACATTTAACAAAGGGCAAAATTATTCCACTGATTCACTCCCATTCCTTCCTGGCCCCCCTCCCTCCACAGAGTATTAGGTCCATGAAGGCAAAGGTTTTCCTTTCTTTACTGAAAAAAGACACAACACCCAGAAAGCACTGTACATATCAGGCCTTCTGCAAATATCTTCTGAATGAATGGTACCAAGTGCCAAAAGGAAATAAAAAGTAGAGATAAATATCCCTTTAATGGCTTCTAATCCTATAGTTTAAGACATATGCCACAATGAAAACATGAAAATTTATTAAAATTTGAAGACAAAAACATAATTTCAAAAGATTTAGACCTATGTCAGGCGTGATAGAGAATGGATGCTTTCTGGAAATTCAAAATCAGACCCAAGAGTATCACTTTCAGAATGTTCTACTGGATTGGGCTGACTTTTACTTGTCTTGGATGAAAGAGTCACTATTCTACTTTCCTTCTTGACAGAAATGTATTTTTTCAAAGACTCACTTTTAACTGGGTCATTAACCAAAGAACCATTTCCCCCGATTCCTTTGCTTTTCCGGTTTATAGAAGAGTCAGAGTAGGAATGCTGGTCCTTTCCAAGGTGTTTCTTAGCAGAGTGTTTTGTGGTATATTCACCTGTTTTGGCCATTTTCTCTGAAGACGATCTGCTATTCCTGTGCAGCTCTTCCTCTTCTCTGTGACTTCTGGTCCCGGAAATCACATCTGCTAGAGGAGAACATGTTCTAGCAAGGAATCCTTCGAAAGACTCCTGGTGCTGCTCAGTCCCTGGGACTCCCACGCTGTCTCTGGAAGTCACTGGGGCCTCCTGAGTAGAACTTGGGACATGGAAGGAGTCGAGAGGCAAAGGAATTCTGGCATCACTTGTAATTTTCTGAAACTGAAGGGAAAAAGAAAAAAGAACAAAATTTCAGTGATGAATAAAGCCAACTACTAAAAAGTAGAGTTCAAAATTTCAATGTTACTATGTGATTTTAATATTCAAACAGTCAGTTAATTACTCATAAGATTTTAGGGTCATTTTTCCTCTAATTATATCTTGCCAAGTAATTCCCAACTTAACTAAGCTATATTCAAGACTAAGTATACCACCTTTTCAGACTTGTGTGCTTTCTGTAATTTTTACCCATATCCTTTGACCTCATAAAAAATAAAACACTATTCCCTAAGAAAATTAACCTCTTTTCTAACTTCATACGCATGTAAGGAATATCCAGTTTTTAACTGGGCTGAGTTCTCAAGCAGTTAGTTCCCAAGCCCAGCCTGAGACTGACTGATGGGAGATGGAGGTTCTGCACTAGGCTGGAGGAAAGCAGTGGGTGCTGGGGGAGTGTGTGGGCGTTTAGTCTAGCAGTAAGTCAATGGTTAAGATGCCTGCCAGCATCCCATAGTACACTACCTGGGTCTGATACCTGGCTCCTGACTCCAGGTTCCTGCCTCCTACATGGGAGACCTGCTGTACACTTTGGTCTGAACCACTCCTGGCTATTGCAGGCATTTGGGGAGTGAACCAGTGAAGAGAAGCTCTCCCTTAAATAATTTAATTAAAAAAAAAAAAGGAAGAAGAAAGGAAGAAAACCAGCAAGGGATGCCTGTGACAGACAAGCTTTCCCCTCCTGCTCCCATAATCAACTGAATGCCTAATACTACCTAATGGTTAGGTCTGGATGACTTGTTTTTAAAAGTTATCTCTAATAGTACTTGTACCTTCATTAGTGTTCCTTCATTGTAAGCTGACTGCATACAAATAGAAACCTAGATGAAATATGAATAGAATAGACATTTATAAAACTTAAAATAGGATTATTTTCTCTAATAGTTATTTATTTCTGCATTGAGAATAATCTGCTTGAAGTCATAAATGTGCAAAAGAACTTCAAGTTTACTTACAACAATGCAGTATCATGAAATGAGCACAAATTTACTGATTTCAGTCTTGAAAGGATCCCAAAGAGGCTTCTGGCCCCAAGCGTAGGAACTATTTACTAGGGATGAATTATTATTTTCTCTCTGACTCGGTAAATGCCTTTTGCTAATCACAGAATCATTAAATTCTATTCTACCCACTTACTTGGATATTTTGCATTTGTCCTACAGCACTCTGCTTTTGTTCTGGCTTTTCTTCTTCAAGTGCCTTCTGCTCCTCCTTGGGTGGACTACTAATAGTAGAATTCATCTGGGGACGACCTAGTAAATTAAAATCTGACTGATCTATACCAGCCATTGTGGCAAGCTGCCCAAGCCTGGTCAAGAGGAGGAAAGGAGAAAAAGGCAATGGTTATTATGACCAAATGGTTATTATGTAAGAACAGCTGAGTTTTCCTATAAATATAACTATGGTATCCTTTTAAAATCTTAAACCAATATCCCATTCCAGACCACAAACCTCCTCTCTCCCAGATGTTCAGACCTTCCCATATTCATGCTCTGGGACCACGTCAGGTCATCTATTTATTTAAACATTCCTTCACTCCAACAATATAGTAAGTACCACTGGACTTTTATTTCCTTAAGCATTACTCCTTTCCATTTTAAACATATTCTCCCTCTAGCACCTTCAGCTTCTACAATGCACCTGATGGTTCCTCTATTAATGGCCTCTCACCTCCATGCCCACACAACTCATCTTTACTAAACTTTTCTTCCAGTTTCCAAGAACGTGTTTGTTCCTTCCTTCCAGTGCCAACCTGTTCACTTACGAAACAGGATCCCATTAACCATCTACTGCTCGCTCTCTCTCTGTTGCTCACTCTCTCTCTTTCTCACTCTCTCTCTTAGCATCTTTTTGAAAAAATCTTCTTCTGCTGAAAATTACTGATCTATTATATCTTTATCTACCTGCAGCTTAATAACACTTTGAATGTCTAGGACAAAAATAACTTGTATTCAAACTTACTTAACAAGCAAAATGAGTAAAAGGTAGGAAAATGCCTATACATTCCTGAATATTTTCAAGTAAAACTACTTTTAAATGGTCTTAACCAAGAATTATACCTAATAAGTATTTCATCTACAGGTTACTGTTTTATAGCGGGCTCTCTACCAAAGCAGATTTGCTATTTTGCCTTTATTTTAAAATCAATTTCCCACTGGAAAAAAAATCTAGGGTATTACTTATACTTTCATACTCAATATGGTTTACAAAAGTTATGGAAATTGCTCAAGCTCCTCAGCAAACTACCCCTAAAGCCACAGAGGGAAGAGTGCCACAGGGAGCCATGAACTAACCCAGCATCTTTAAGCAGATCTAAGAAAGCATGGAACTTCTGGAAAGAATTCTCAATGCTGCCCAAAACGCCTTCATCATCCAGGATCATGTTTGTCAGTGACTGTGCATGAAGGGCTTCAGACAGAGAGAAATTTATATTTCTTAGTTGGGCATTTTCATGTTCCAACTGTAAAAGGAGATTGAACATATGTGACATGATTTTTTTTCACATTGTTACCAAAAGAAAACAGCACTTAAGTGACAAAACTAAAAACATTTAAGTATGCAATTAATTTGTAATTAATCTTACTCTCCGCTAGTAAAATCACCACATAACAAAACCCAAAGACACTTGACAGTATTTCTTAACGAACACTTAGGTAGTATATGAGTAAAATCTAGTTATTTTATTTCATTAATGATTTATCAAAACATTATATTTCTAACTAATTAAATTCATACTGGATCATTCTGCATTACAACATTAGCTACTTAAAGTTTCCCTTAAACCAGAGGATGAAATACTGAGTCTAATTTGAGCAAAGCAACTTATATTTCTGCCGAATGTTAAGGATTAATTTTAGCCATCATAATATTTAATGTTAAATTCAAAGTCCTAAATCATACCCTAATTATTAGCTGTACAATTACCAACACTCTTTCCCTTGGCTTCTTGAAAATATTTACTCCCCTGAGTCCTCCTTTCACTCATCAAGGATTTATGTAGAATCACATAAGCCAATTCTAGTTTCTCAGAAAGGACATTTTGTTCACAATGTTACCTTTTGCCTTATACAATCAGGTGCTAATACTTATTGAATAAATGCCTTCCAATCCAATCCAATGTGCAAACACTTTCGAAAATTCTTTCCTAAGCTCACCTTGTAATAATAAATTACATGCATACAGAACTTTTGGTTTATGCCCTGCTTTCATGCACATTAGCCTAATTTAATCCCCATGGAATAGTTTTTTAACTTTCATCACAAACTCTCCACAATTTTCCATTACCTTACATTTATTTATTCATTTTCCTAATTCACTATCAGTCACACCAGCCTCTTTTATGTTACTGTTAATGCAATATAAGGCTAATAAGTATATTCTTAAATTGAAGCATCATAAAGAAAATAAACCACAACCATGAAAGCGCAAGAAAGAAAACTCCATAACATTTACATTATCGGAGCTTTTTTTGGAACATGGAGCACATGACCATTAAATGTAAATAAACACAAGGTTAACATGCTGCAACAAATTTGAAAAGTACTTTTCTTTTAAAGTGCATAAAGTGTTTACGTATATGGCCTAACAAAACAAGGCGTAAAATCTCTCATAAGAGAAAACTTTTCTTTACCTCACTGACTCGTTTGTCAGCCTTAAGCCTGATGACTCTTTCCTCCTTTAACTGCTTTAAGCATTCCTCCAGTTTTTCCTGGTGTGAAGAAACAGAGAAAATACTGTAATTGACATGACCCCTGAAAGTTTTTCTAGCTTACAGATCTCACCAAGTAATTAAACTTGTAAACGGGATTATAGTCAACTGTTTATTACTATGTTAGTGAAATTAATTACCAAAAATATCAAATTATCATATCACAAATTTATTTAAATCTCACTCTTTCTGAGATGGATATGTAGCAACTTACTATAAAAATAAATACATATAAATATACATAGTTGGTCAGAAATAAAAAAAACTGAAGCTATGAAAATAAAATTATATTCTCATTTGTGGATACCTTATAATAGAAAGTCTTGCTAATATGCTTAACAGATCTAAATTTTGTAGCTACACATGAAAATGCATTAAGAAGTAAACACTTTTCAAACACTTTACAATATGCTAAGTACTGTTTTAAGAGTTTTCTAGGTTTTAAGTAGTTTAGCCATTAAAATCCTGCAAAGTAAATATGATTATAAATTTTACAGATGAAATACCTATGACAGAGAGCAGTAGAGTATCACAACATTAGTTATGTAGTAGAGTGACGCTTTGGATTCAAGAAGCTGGATGCCATTCATGATCAGAGAGGCAGCTGTCTCACCTTTCACCAAGGTCAGTGAAATAAAATAGACAACGGTAAAACTTGTTCTTACTGTAAAGAACTTAAAAGACTCTTACCTAAGGTTCTTGAAAACAGAGAACACTACTTGTGATAAGAAGAATTCTAAAATGACCATAAAACTCCCTCCTCATTCAAACACTAATCAAGGTGCTGTCACAAAGGAGTTTTATAGAAGTAATTAAGGCCCCCATACCAACTGATCTTAAGATAGAGAGATTACTGTAGTTGACATACCTAATCACACAACACTTTAAAAGGAACTGGGTTTTTCCTGAAAGGTCTGGACTGTGAATGGAATTAGTCATGAAGGTGGCAAAAAGGAGGGTGAAGAGGGGGGCCTCAAGGAACTGAGAGAACCCCTTGACAGGATACAAGAAAAGGAGAGCTCAGTTATAACTGCAGGAACAGAATCATACCAACAACCTAGGAGGGGCAGTCTTGCCTGAAGAAGCCTGTCAGACACACTGCTTTCATTTTTACAAGACTGAGCAGAGATCCATCATATCCTGGCCAGAAGTTTGGCCTACAGAACTAGTAGCTAAAAACAGCTGTTCTTAAGCCACCAAGTTTGTATTAAAAGAAAATTAGTGGAGATCCAATATGGCAGAATAAGGAAGGAGCTTACTGTTCTAGTCTTAGGACAGAGTTTAAAAAAAAAAAAAAAAAAAAGATTAGGGGCTGACACTGTAGCGCAGTGAGTAAAGCTGCCTCCTGCATTGCTGGCATCCCATATGGGCCCCAGTTCAAGTCTTGGTGCTCCACTTTTTTTTTTTTTTTTTTTGACAAGCAGAGTTAGATAGTGAGAGAGAGACAGAGAGAAAGGTCTTCCTTTTTCCATTGGTTCACCCCCAAAATGGCCGCTACAACCGGCGTGCTGCACCAATCTGAAGCCAGGAGCCAGGTGCTTCCTCCTGGTCGCCCATGCGGGTGCAGGGCCCAAGGAATTGGGCCATCCTCCACTGCCTTCCTGGGCCACAGCAGAGAGCTGGACTGGAAGAGGAGCAACTGGGACAGAACTGGCGCCCGGTTGCTCCACTTCTGATCCAGCTCACGGCTATAGCCTGGGAAGGCAGTAGAAGATGGCCCAAGTCCTTGGGTCCCTGCACCCGTGTGCAAGAACGAGAAGGAGCTCCTGGCTCCTCGCTTCGGATCAGCACAGCTCCTGCCATTGTGGCCTACTAGGGAGTAAATGAGCAGATGGAAAAACTCTCTCTCTGCCTCTGCTTCTCTGTAACTCTGCCTTTCAAATAAATTAAAAAAAAAAAAAAAGTGGAGAGCGCTCAGTCTAAGGGAAGAGATAGGAAGAAAATGGCAGAGGAAACTTCAGGCAAATTAGAGGGACACTGTGGACCTATATGGAGGGTATGGACATGCACAACCCAGGACTCCAGCAGCCCAGAGCCTCAGCACCAGTGTAGGAGAGTGAGGTGAGACCAGACTACAGCAGCCCAAGCTACTGTGATAAAGCTGCCCAGCTTGGAGCCCTGTGGGGAACACTGTACCTGCCAACCTAGAGGCAAAAAAGGGGTCACATTTCTCTCTCCCTGACCACGCTGCACTAACATCCTGTAACAAGCCGGGGGGGGGGGGGGCATTTTGGACATATGTAACAGCTGCACCAGCTTGTGTCTGCATGCCCAGCAACCAGCAGAGCAGAGATGCCCGAGTCTGGCCGGGAGAACTGACAGGGTGCTGGGTGCTCATAACTGTGGGAGGCTTGTGTGCCGGGTCTGTGAAAACACTAAGGCTGCCTAGGAGAGTACAGGGTGTAGTTGGGACTTTGGGCAGCTCCACATGCTCCAGGCTTCCTGATTCCCTGGTGAGGGTCATCATTGTGGGATCTGTGCTCACACCATGGACTGCACAGATCCTTTGTGTGGTTCTTAGGGTACCATGGACAAAACTGTACCCACTGGGGCTAGTGCTCAGGCACTAAACTCCATTGAGGAGGGGAGGTGAGCAGGAGACTATGCCAAAAGAGCAGAAAAAAATCGCTTCTGATTAAAAAGAGAGAGAGATTTACCAAACCCAACCTAGGTGTCACCTTGGACACTCCCTTAACCCTGGAGCACTGAACAGAACTCCCTGGCCACACCCTCCACTCATCTCTGGGTATTCACTGAAAAAACAGACCCTCCACTAAGCCACAGAGGAGTAGTCCAAAGATAAAAGCCATCACAGCAAAACAAAACAAAATAGAAACCAAAAAGAATCCCTACAAATGCCAAATAATACACGGACCAATTCAAGAAACAAGAATAAGAAAGATAACATGACATCCCAAAAGAACATAACACCTTAATACTAGAATGTGAAGAGGAAGAGAAAAGAAATGCCAGAAATGGAATTCGAAAAAGTGATTGCAGGATTACTAAGAAGTAGTCAGAAACAAATCCACAAACAAATGAAACTGGAACTCTTCTATAGAAGAGTTTGGTAAAGTGGCAAGATATAAACTCTACACACAAAAATCAACAGCCTTTGAATTCACAGACAATGCCAAGGCTGGGAAAGAACTTCTAAGATCAATCCCACTCACAACAGCTACCAAAAAAACATCAAAGACCTTGGAATAAATTTAACCAAGGATGTCGAAGATCTCTATGATGATAATTACAGAACATTAAAGAAAAAAAAAGAAGTACAAAAAATGGAAAAATCTTCGATGTTCATGGATTCCAAGAATCAGTATCATCAAAATGTCCATATTATCAAAAGTAATTTACAAATTCAATGCAATACCAATCAAAATATCAACGATATTCTTCTCAGATACAGAAAAAATGATGCTGAAATTAAAATGGAAATACAGGAAACCCCAAGTAGCTAAATCAATCTTATACAACAAAAACAAAAGCTGGAGGCATCACAATACCAGATTTCAAGACATACTACAGGGCAGTTATGATCAAAACAGCCTGGTCCTGGTATAAAAACAGATGGATAGACTAACACAACAAAATAAAAACACTAGGAAGCACCTATAACCAACTTATCTTTGACACAGGAGTGAAAATCAATCCCTAGAGCAAGGACAGTCTATTCAACAAATGGTGCTAGGAAAACTGGATCGTCACATGCAGAAGCATAAAGCAAGACCCCTACCTTACAATTTTCACTAAAATCCACTCAAAGTGGACTAAAGACCTAAATCTACAATGCAATGCCATCAAATTATTAGAGAGCATTGTGGAAACTCTGCAAGACATCGGAATAGGCAAAGAGTTCTTGGAAAAGACCCCAGAGGCACAAGTAATCAAAGCCAAAATTGACAAATGGGATTACATCAAATTTAGAAGCCTCTGTACTGCATAAGAAACACTCATCAGGCCCAGTGCTGTGGCACAGCAGGTAAAGCCTCTGCCTGCAATGCCAGCATCCCATTATGGGGGTGCTGGTTCGAGTCTCAGCTGCTCCACTTCCAATCCAGCTTTCTACTATGGTCTAGGAAAGCAGCCAAAGATGGCCCAAGTTCTTGGGCCCCTGCACCTGCGTGGGAGACCTGGAAGAAGCTTCTGGCTCTTGGCTTCAGATCAGTGCAGCTCAAGCTTTTGTGGCCATTTGAGGAGTGAACCAGCAAATGGAAGACCTCCATCTCTCTGTCTCTCTCTCTGCCTCTTGGTAACTGTCTTTCAAATATATAAATAAATCTTTAAAAAAAAAAAAAGGAAACAAACATTGAGCAAAGTGAAGAGGCAACTCTGTAAGACACGTTGGCATAGGCAAAGAGTTCTTGGAAAAGACTCCAGAAGCACAGACAATCAAAGCCAAAATTCACAAATGGAACTACATCAAATTGAGAAGCTTTTGTACTGCAAAACAAATGCTCAGGAAAGCAAAAAGGCAACCGACAGAATGGGAGAAATTATTTGCAAACTATGCAACTGATAAAGGATTAATAATCAGAATATATAAAGAGATCAAGAAACTCCACTGCAACAAAACAAAACACCCAGTGAAGAAATGGACAAAGGACTTAAACAGACATTTTACAAAAAAGCAAATCCAAATGGCCAACAGACACATTAAAAAAATGTTCAGGACCACCAGCCAACAGGGAAATGCAAATCAAAACCACAATGAGGTATTACGTCATCCCAGTCAGAAGGGCTTTCATACAGAAATCAACAAATGCTGGTGAGGGTGTTGGGGGAAAGGTACCCTAATCCACTGTTGGTGAGAATGTAAACTGGTAAAGTCACTATGAAAGACAGTTTGGAGATACCTCAGAAATCTGAATATAGACCTGCCATGACCCAGCCATCCCACCCCTGGGAATTTACCCATGGGAAATGAAATCAGCAAATAAAAGTTATCTGTACCACCATATTTACTGCAGCTCAATTCACAATAGCTACTATACAGA